CTGGGGTTTGGTCACCCCAATGCCCTGACGTCGGGTTGGAGTTGGTGGGACATGAGGCTACTTCACGTCCATCACCCTCCCTGACTTTTTTCCTGTTGGTTGCTCCTGACTGCCCAGCGACCCTGCCATTTCTGCTCAGGGTTAGAAAACCCACAGACTCCATGCTGGCCTCACCTTATCTCAGCCAGCAAATCTCAGGCTCATCCAGGCCTCAGGCAGACACCTGCGATTAGCAAGTCCATCTCACTAACTTGTCTGCCTTCCACAGGATCCTTGGCCATCCCGTCCTCTTGTCCTCTTGCAGGTGGCAGAGCCGCCTGTGAGGAGACAGGATGATCATTCCTTCTTTTTGCTGCCTTCCTTTCACCTGGGACTCAGTGCAAGCTGCCACAACCATTTCCCACCACATGTCAATGGGGGAGAGTGGCCCAGAGCCACCTGAATGTTTTAGGCAGGAGAACGTGATAAGGAGGATCACGGGACAGTGTGTTGTCTCCTGGGCCTCAAAGAGGTCTCCCCTACCACTAAGTTCCCAAAGAAGCTAGGAGGAATGGCTGGAGGGACCTTCATGACACAAAGATGAGTAAGGAATTGTAGGATGCATGGGGTCTGGGGACAAGTAAATCTTTTTCTGATTCACATGATGTCACAGTCTGATTCATTCTTCCCTGCAAGGGGTGCTTCTTTGCCCTCCCTGGAGCCCCCAAGGGAAGACTTCAGAGCCAGCCACTTTGCAGCACAGGCAGTTTTCTGAGTTCTAGTAGAGTTGCTGGGTCACTTGGCCACACTGTCCTTGTTAAAAATAAGACTTTGCAGCCATTTAGTAAAGAGCAAGACACAACCTTGGAAGTTGAGAAAGTGTCTGAAGTTAGCTCATTCTTGCTAAGAACAGTGGACTCTGGAAAAACATTGAGTTAAAACGTGAATGTACAGAGGAGGCTTTAATACCTGACTGCTGAGAGCAGTCCTTTGGAGCTTCCAGCTGTACTAGGGGGAAAGGACATCCCCCACAACTGTGGAAAGGACATCCCCCACAACTGTGCAAAGAGCACTTGGCTGGCTCTGCTGGCTGCAGGATTCCCTTCTCACTCTCTGCTACAGTTAGCAGTAAAGGAAGCACAGAGACATCCTTTCAGACACTGCAAGAGGGGACAAAAGCAAGACTTGTCTCATCATCCCTCAGCCATGGAGTGGTTGAGCACAAGCTAGACTGAGATGTTTGTCAAGAAAAAAATAAATTACTTTCAGTTTTTAGACTCGAAAAAAGATGCTCATTGGGGTGGTCTGCATAGTTTGTCCATCGGAGAAAGACAAACTTCTTCAGTACCTGTTTCAGTTTGAACAGTCTCTGCCCAGGGCTCAGCCATCTCCTCCCTGACGTGAGGGGTGTTTGTGCAGAGAAGTTCTCTTGGCTCAGAAGGAGCAGGTTACAAATTCAGAGCTATTGCTGCTTATGCCAATGGCAGAGTCCACTTCTGAGCAGAATTATTTTAACGAGCAGGGACCAAGTTCACTGTGCAAGTGTGGCTGATGTTGCAGAGTGTGAGACCAGCTTGTGCTGTATTGTGATCTTGAATTGAAACTGCTTGATGCCTTTTTGAGCAATGTGATAAACTCTGGTGTAATTGAAGAGCACAGTCAGTCATTTTCTCTCTTTCCTACTGTCAAACATTGTCAAAAGAAAGAACAATACCCTGGTGGTTTATATTTTTCTTGCATTTTTTTTCTGGGAGTAAGGTATCACAGAATGTGATTTTTCTCTTGATTTACAGACCTAATCAATGTGAAAATTCTAGTGAAAGAAAAAAAAAATGCTCAAAATTAACTAATTTGGGGACTCTAAAATTGGGCTCTTGTGGGTATCATTTGTCCCAGAACTGTGTGCTTGACAGAAGATAAATATAATAGAATCACATAGCGAGACAGCCTAAATCATCAGCTCACATTCATTCAGATAAATGGTTTTAGAATTAGATACTTCTGCTTAGAAATAGTTCTCAGATACAGCAATTTCTACAAGTTTATTACCTGTAGTTACTTTGGCCAAACCATAAATTACATTGAGTGGTATGCCAAGTGTAATTCGAGTTTTATGTGTTCTCTCCCGATGCTCCAGGCATAGCTGGTAGAGGAGGGTGGAGGGGCTTGTCCATAAGCATTCTTAGCCCAGTAAATTTGACAGATTGACAGTTGTTCACTGTCAGCTGATAAACACCTGCTTGTCTCCTCTGGCCAGTGGCTGGTATTCTTCACCTAGGAAGGGCTGCCAGAGCCATTGCCCCACCTCTTGGGACACAGTTTCGTTCCACAACAGCAAGCTTCACACATTTTGTTTACTGACTGTAGAACTGCTTTTCACACCTTCAGCTTCAAGATCCATTTCCACCCCACCTCTGTGTCAGCCTTTTGTTCAAACTGTTTGACTGCTCCTTTGTCTGGGTCTCCTGCAGCGATCTCGTGGCAAATGACAGAGTGGATAACCTTGTCCGTGCAGTGCTGCAGACCGTGCGGTGAAGTGTGCATTTACCCTCAGCTGCACTGCTGGCGTGAAAGTTGTACCAGACTGATTGGCCCCTGTTAATGGTGCAGGTTCCCCATTACGCTGCTGTATGTAACTTCTCCTACAGAGAAATTAAAAATGGTGTAAAACAACAATGGGCCCCCAATGGCATAAATCTGTGGAAATCCACTGACTTAGCTGGACTTTAGTATATTCAAAGTACATCTGGACCAGCAGTTTAAGGTTATTAAGTAAAACTGTGTAAGTCTTCTGACAAAGTTATGCTCGATGTTTTCATAGCAAGAACAGTGACGCTGTTGTCAGATTTAAGTTGGCAGGACTTTTGACCTACCAATACAAGGATTGGTGGTGGATACGTTTCAGGTCTGCCTGTTCTAAGTGGTTTTATATACACCAAAACGCTGAAAAAAGCCACAGCTGGATAGGTCTGTGAAGGGCAGGCAGGCAGGCATTTGAGGGCAAGTGTTGGTGTCCAAACACTTGCTTTTATTTGGTGGCCTAAAGAGTTGTGTTCCCAAAAACATGTGGGCTGTTTCAGAATTCAGCACCAGGGCTTATCTAATCAATAGTTAATCTGCTGTTAAAGAGAGATGGAGGCAAAACAAGTTAAATGAGCATGAACTCTTCAGTTGAAAAAGGTCATGGGTATTATCTGGTTCATTTTCTAAAATCAAAGGAGGCATCGGTCTTCCATGGCCATCTGGGTTTAATTACTCACCCTTGTTATCTCTCTGTTCCTCTATTTGATAGAAGTAGAAACTTGGTATCCATCCCAAACATCCACATTACTGGTTGCGAGAGCAGGTATTAAAGCAAAGATAACACCAGGTAGAATATCGTTTGTCAGGAGTTATTGTCACAGTCAATGGAGCTTGTAACATTTCAGTTTGGCTTCCAGGAAATATTTCTGCAGCATGAAAGATTGCTCTGAGTGTACAGGAAATTTTTTTATGGCTTGGTTGGTTTACTGAGGGCTTAGTCATATAGCTCCATTTGATTTCAACAGGAGGTACATGACTAAATTCCAGTGCTTTGTAAGGTATCTTTTACAAATGCTTGGAAAAACAAGGCTATTATCTCTAAGTGGGTTTCACAAATGGAGATTTGGTCTTCTCCTTGGCTTCACGCTGCAGTTGTGTTAATGCAGCCATGGGTTCTAATGAACATGGCAATTCACTTATGAGCCCTTTGAACAGTGACATTGTTGAGTTTCTGTTGCAGCTCTTTGCAATGGGAGCGTGCCGGGAGCCAGGAGAGACTGTGATAATTGCCATCGGTACATGTGTCGGTTACAATTCATCTGTGGTGATTCAGTTTGCTACGGCTGCTGTGATGCCCGTATATAGTTTTTGGCTCTTCTTATCTGGTGAAGTGAACTTTGAGATTATTTGAGAGCGAGGGCAGATGTTGGAAAGGTGGAAGTTGTACTTTTCTTGGGACTAGCCATTGGTTTTGATTTGAAAGAAAGCAGCCCTTGCCTCCCTGGGACAACTTGGTTGGGCCAGTCAATGGCCGAGCATACCACTCTTTTGCCACTTATTTCTTTCTTGCTTCCTCCCCAGCCGCTTGGTCATATGCTGCTTCCACCTTGTCAGCGTGACAAACCAAAGGCTCAGATATGCCTTGTGGATGGAGCGGAAAGTGCAATCAAAAAGGGTGGGCTTTAAACTCTGGCAACCACAGGCAGCCTGTGGAGAGCTGACCTGACGTCCTGATCGGCTGATCTGTCAGAAGATAGGGACCCCTTCAAGGACTTAGAGTTTGGCTCTGTAACCTCAAGTACGGGTCATATCAAACGCCATCACTTTAAATTTCTGTGCAATGACAGGAGTTTGTGTAAGAGAACATTAAATATTCAAATACTGAGAAACAGACACAGTAATGTGTCTTCCTTCCCATTACATTTGTTACAAACAAGTTGTACTAAATCATATTTTATTTTCAAATTTAGCACTAATGTAATACCTGTGACTGGGCTTAAAGGGGAAAGTTTGTGTGAATATGAGGAAAACACAGCAGGGTTGCGCTGTGATTCAGTCCCAGCTCTCAGTCAGGGTTTGTACCCACTTCCTGCAGAGCTGCGTGGGGTTAGGCAGGTACCTCTGCCTGCTCAAGGCTGCCTGCCTCGGAGCCAGGCTGTGCAGTGCCCGCAAGGACCTGCCAGGGTCTGCTCTTCCCTGTGCTATGTGAGTGAGTGAGCACGAGGGGAGGATGAGTAGAAGACATTCAGGCAGGAGGTAAGCTCAAAACTTTGGCAGCCTGAAGAAGTGAACTGTGCCCTTTTCAAGGATGGAGTAATAGTCTTCCCTCCAGGAGCAAGAAGGAAGCAGAGGATGAGTGGTGACTTACTGAATTTCTATTAGGTCTCCTCTCACAGGCTCAGAACCTTTGTGCCTTCCTCCTCTGTCTCAAGGCACGCTCTGGTCTAAGGAATCAAGAAGAGATGTCAACCTTTTGAAAGCCTGATGTTAGCAAAGATAGTTCATCTTCCATTTCCCGATGGCATTTGTTGTATCCATTTGGTGAGGATAATTAACTGGGCACTGGCAATCTGGTAGTGGCCAAGTCCACCTAAGGAGGAGACCCACAAAGAGAATGTCTAACCTGCAGGACACTCATGGTGGGACCTCTGCATTATATGTCTGTACGGAGAGGTAATGATGGATCCAGGCTTGCCATGGGTTCACAAGTGGAGCAATACAGTTTCTGTAATCCCAGCTGGGCTTCCAGGGAAGCTGCGCTGGGGCTGCTCTGTGCATACCATGGTGGTTCTGGGTCTGCCTGGTGGCAGAACTGCTGTTTCCTTCCCGTCCTGGAAGTCCATAGAGAAGCTCCTTGCTCATTTTAGAGATAGATCTCAGGCATCAGCTGAGCAAAGGGGATGTTGAGTCTTTGGTGCGGACTTACAATAGATATACACCTTATCTCTCACCTGCCAAGAGTTAGAGGAAGGTTTTTTTCACAGTTTTTCCAGAAATACTCACCCCTTCTGTTAGGTTGGAGCATGAGAAACTGGAGCCCCAAAGGGACGTTACTATGAAGGCTGAACACATTTATAAAGAATTCAGGCTTTGATGAAAAAAAAGTGCCTTTTTGGAAAGCACTTGGGGACTTTTCACCATGACAGATGCTACTGTGTAAGTGTAAGACTATTATCCCCTTATATATATATGTGGGTAGCTGTCTTATAAAAAGGTATTTTGTCTTGCCAAGTCACTGCAATAAAGTGGAATGTGCAGACACAATACTTGACTGCCCCCACATCCATATTTCACCTTTATTAAATCTTATTACAATTAAAATCTTAACTATTCTTTTCTATTACAACTGCTCTGTGTGTGTAAGAATACACGCGACAGCAAGTAAGCCTTTTAGCACATTAATAATCAAAACCAAGGATTAGTAAGAAACACATTTGCATTTTATCTCTAATTTTTCCTTTTTTTCCCCTCCTTTTTTTCCTTGCAGGCACAGCTGTCTCAGGCTTTAAATGGTGTTTCAGATAAAGCAAAGGAAGCTAAAGAATTTTTGGTTCAGCTGAAAAATTTATTGCAGCAGATCCAGGTAACTGTAGAACATTCGCTGTTTTGATAATACAGTAATCAATAGAACTGAGTGAATAATTTATTTGATGACTTTGTCTCCTGTGCTATTCTCTTATTTCCTGGAATCATCTAACCTTTCTTGAATGGATTTGCCAGGCAAAATTATTAATCAGATAGTGCCTGCAAGCCCCTCTTAGCTTCTAGATTGTTTGCTGTTTATTGCAAGAAGCTGATACTCAATACTGGACATCTGAGCTGTGTTGATTAGTATTTGATTGAATCCATCGGTCATGCTTCTGGGCTCCTTCCTGACTGTAATTGCTTCAGTTGGGCATTTAGGATAAGTTCTCATTTTCACACATTCAAAATTTACTACTTGTTTTTCATCTTACATTTTCTAAAAATGTACTAGTTTCTGGACAAAATCCAGTCAACCTGTTTATTACAGTATTTGTAGGAGGTCAAAAAAAAGAAGAAACAAATGCTCCTAAATTAATGTGGTCATTTACTGAAGCAGAAGATATTTTCATGCCTATAATTGCCTAGCTTTAATAGTCAGAAGAGGGCACACAGTGTGTGCAGTAATTGAGGGCGCAAACCTAAAATGAAACAAGTCCCGTTTTCAACCCAATTTAGACTCATCAGTGCTGGAGTTCAGGTGATCCTCAAGGACCTTCTCACCCTGCAGGATGTGTCTGGAAATGTGCTGCCGTAGTTTGAGCTTCCCAGCACCCAGGAGGGGACACTTGTTATCCGCAGCAGCAGCTATGGGTTTTCTATGGGACATATGGCATCTGCTCTGTGATATGCCCGCTCTGCTGCTTGCTCATCTTTCACCAACAAGCAAATCCTGTGCCTGTTACTAACAGAAAGCCAAAGCAGAACTTTGAAAATCTGTATTTAGGTTGGAATTTAATCATTAAAATATCCTGCTGATTTTTTTGAATGCTCTGGATGATGAATTCATACCATAAATGCTGCCCAAGCTCTCAGGTTGCCACAGGGCAGTGTAGCTACCTAACCTCCCACTCTTCTGCGGCTACAGGGGAGAAGGGAAGAAACCTGTGAAACTGGTGAAAAAAAGCACATCTAACTGAAAGAAACCAGTGCGAAGCCACGAACTGGTGCCTGTCACATGCCATGTTTTGGTCACAGTGTGAGGTTTGTCTTAGCTGACTTTACCTATCCAAAAGTTAAGTGGCTCATCTAACCTAGTCACTAGGGCTTCCTTCATTGTCCAAGGAGAAGGACAGGCACCTCCAGAGAGCAGTTCTTCCTGCAGGTATGAACAGCTGTTTTAGGATGGGATAACTCATCCAAAACAGTAGTCTATCAGCAATCTTTTCTTGAGTCACCTAGCTCCATTAAAAATGTATTTTCCCCTCCTGAAACCTACAGGTGGCCTGTTACAACTATTGATGACTATGCTGTAAAATCCTTTAATGTGTTTCAATAAAATCACTGCCAAATTGCTCTGCATAAGGGAGCTGCTACAATTAGATCAAAAGACCAAGCCATTTCTTCAATGCTGCTCATTGTTTAAAATGCTAGAGGAGAACCAGGAGGGGACATTGTATCAGCAATCCCCCTCTAACATTTAGGCATGTCTGGGCACAAGGCTGGATCTGAATCTCACGTGTTGAGCCAGTCTCGAGAACAAGTCTGAGTGAGGACACCAAATTTCAGCAAACGGAAACAGCAAGACTGATCAGCTGTATATGTAATTCATAAGTAAAACAATGCTAGAGCATAACTCTGAGTACTAAGGGATGATCACCCACAGAGTTTAACCTTTCATGAGCTCCCTGGCATAGTTTTGTCCTGTGACAAATTGCACTCTTCCCAGCTGATGCCTTAGCAGCATTTGATGATAGCACATACCAGGGAATACTCCTGTTAGGCAGGTTTGGTACAGCCACAGTATTTTAGGGGAAAGGGTTTCAATGTGTCATGATCTGGTCTGTGCCTTTCAGCATCTGAACAAAAAAACCCAGTTCTTGGACTGTCATTTACAGGGAAATAGATCTAGCCTTTGTGCATAGATTTATACCCAGAACCATGTATCTCAGAGCAGGTTGTTTCTAATAGAAGTCTTATGATGGTTGCCACACACACATATACAGACATTTACCCTCAGCAAAAATGTCTTTAAAATGTGTGTTTACACAAAGGAGTGAGCAATATGTACATTTTATTATCCTGTCTCAATGCACAGCAAACCGGCTAGCCATCTGCACTCTTTGTCTCCTCTCCGAGTTTGCCAGAGCTACCAGGAGCTGTGCTTTTATCTTCCCTGGGGCAGTTCTCAAATTCATAATCTACTTTTCTTTTCCCTGCTTTGCAGATCTCTTGTTTCTTCCTCTTTTTTCCTTCCCTCCTCCTTTCTGAGGTCACTTTTACATCTCTTGGTCTCTTCTTTTCAGAAACTGCCTGCTCCTCATTGCCCCTGTTGCTTCCCTGCTCCTCCTTGTTGCTGTCATCGTCTGATTTTCACATTTGCCCATCTGCTGTAACAAATTCATCCTTTCTGGCTTGAAAGAAGCATATCGCCAAACACCTTGTTTGATGTATGAACAGCAAATGAGGAGAGAAAATATGCACTACAGCCATCGATTGATCCAGGCTCTGTACACAAACCAGCACTTTGGGAGTAGCTGGGTGGATGTGGGCTGAGTGGGAGTCAGGTGTGATATAAGCCGAGGAGGGAGAAAGGCAAACAGGAAGAGTCTAAGACAAACCTGTGAGCAGTAACTGAGCTGTCTGGTGCCTCTCCCCCCACCCACCTTGCTGGCAGGGGTAGGACTGTGGTGGGGGCCTCTTGGGGAAGAGTGACTCTGCATACCTCAGCTGGAGAACGAGATGCGTGGGTTGCAGTGCGAGAAGTGCTGAAAATTTTGCTCTCAAAAACCCAAATGAGCAGAAAGGAAGAGAAAAACATAAACAAAAGAGCTAAGAGATAGTAATGAGTTAGGGGCATGTGGTGGTTTACCACAGAGATGCTTCTCCTTCAGCCTGTGTTTGATATCTTTTCACATTTAATGCTTCTTTTTTTCTTTTTCATTTGGGTGTTTGGAAAGCTGATAGAACAGCTGATCATCTTGAAAAAGGAGCTTGAAAGCTTTCTCTCTTACGACCAGAGGAAGTGAGGGAGAGCCTCCCTCTGATGCTAACTGCATCAGTTCCACAGCCACTGAAAGCCATCGCCAGGAGGAGGGGCAGCTCAGGACCTTGTAGTACCATCTGCTCAGATTTCTACAGCTGCAGTGGGATTCTGTGATAGCAGGGTTTGTTCCCCATTGATTGTACAGGGATTTATGTAAGGCTAAGTGATACACAAAATCTCAGGGATTTGTACCTGGTGAATTTCCTTGTAATGAGCCTGTAGACCAGATTCTGGTCCATAATTCTCTTCTAATTTCCATGGTGTAGAGCCAGTGATTTCAAAGTTGCTGCAGTGGGATGACTAAAACAGAATGGGGCAGAATCCTCTTATGTATATGTATACACTGTGTATGATTAGGTTTAGATTTTACATTATGTTGTACTACATCTGTTTTCCGGAAAGTGCCAGTAAATCAGAGTTTTAAATAAGCCCATTTTGTGGCATAGCATCTTACTGTTTCATTTTATAGCATGCAGCTATTACTGGTACAGCTATAATGAAATCAGAAAGGCAACAGAAGTGCCAAAGTCTTGAAAGGAAATCTTTTCTGAATACAAAACCAGGTAAGACTGAACAATAGTTTAAGGTGTAAAATATGCTTTCTTTGATGAGTATGACTCTCGCCTTCTTCTAGGAGAACGGGTTGGATTATGAAGCCTGTCTTGTTGCTCAGTGTGATGCCTTGGTTGATGCGTTAACGCGACAAAAGGCAAAACTGCTCACAAAGGTGACCAAAGAACGTGAGCACAAGCTGAAGGTGAGCACAATTCTCATCAGCTGAGCACAACTGTTGATACCTGACATTACTGTGCATTTTGTGAGGTCCTTAGCCCTTTACACCGTGAAAACTCATAACGACCAAATCTTGAAGTCCTTCAGCAGGTTCCAGGTCAGTAGTTTGGTGGAACTGTGCCTATAGACTTAAAATGAGGCATATACTTCATCAGTTTGTTGAATTAGGCCATCAGTTTTTATTTATCTCATGGGTTTGGGCTGTCTTTTGAGAGGTGCTTGTCAGTGAAACCTGTGTGGTTTGGATTCTGGGAAATTCCAAATGCAAGAAAGCCCTTCTGCCCAGGTAAAATGTTGGGATTTTGGTGTCTCTTCAAACCTTTGAAATTCATGCAAGCCACCCCCAGAAATACATGTGTTTACTCAAAAGATATTAAAGAAATGCAGTAAAGGGGAGTGGGAGAAGAAAGCTATAAATGGTTGAACAAAGTGGCAGTCAAGAAATGTTTAAATAGACACATTTCTTGAAACATTGAACTGCATATGTGATTTTGAGGTATTATAGTGTCAGTAACAGTAACAGTTTCTAAGACAGAAAGAAAAACTGAAATGAAGAATCTTACATGACAGACAATGAATAAAATCTACCCGAGATCAGCACTGAAAAAAAACCTCATGCTTAACAAGAACTGACACTTAGGGCATATTGCTAACAGCACAGCTAATCCTGGAGTTTACTCCTGTTAGGCTGTTGTACCTCAGGAATTGTGCTATCGAATGCAGTGCTATTAGGCCTAGTCTCTATCCACATGGCAGCAGAATAAAGTCCAAAATCTGGAAAAATGAGATGCAGCTTTTTTATTTCTTAATCCCAGCAATGCATCCTTAAGCAGAGCAGGGTCAATGGTGAATTGTGAAGAGAATGGTAGAGTATAATCTGCAAGAAACCACTCCTGCAGTAATCGTCTATATTTGTCTTTTAAGTGAAGGGATTTTTAAAAGCTCAGATTTTAGTGCAAGTGTGATTGTAAATGTGAATACTGTAAATGCAGAAACATATTCTGTGCTCTTTCTGCCCCAAGCAAGCTTGATCTTTGAGCAATTAATCTGCTCTGAAAATTGAGATTCACTGTGCACAACATTTTGCCAAGCTAATTATCAGTGTTTGCAATACAGAGCAAGTGAGTGTAGCTGATGGAGATATGGCAATGGCCATATGGCAGCTAAATTAAGCATAGCTTTAACGCACTTTTCCATTCGTTGTCTCTTCTGAAATAATCTTATACAGTTCACTGTAAGCTGAGGCAGTCATCAGATATGTACTGATGCTTGTTTTCTAGGTTGTTTGGGACCAGATAAATCACTGTACACTGAAGCTACGCCAGTCAACGGGGCTTATGGAGTACTGCCTAGAAGTTATCAAAGAAAATGATCCCTCTGGGTTTTTACAGGTATTTCTATTTCTGATGTTCTGGGGGGGAAAAAAAAAGACAAGATGTTAAATCTAAAAATGGATGGCTTTGTTGAGAAGCCTCTTCCACCACCAAGGCAGGCTCACCTTAACTCCTGTTAGCCCTGTCTAAAAGCTCAGGAGGCCCGTTGACCACATGGACGTCCCAGTGAAGGGATGGCTTTGAACAGCCATGCTCTGACCGAGGTGTGGAGTTAGCGATTATACCCCTGACTGCTGACGTCTTTCCTCTTGCCAGCCCTTCTTTCTGGGCCAAAAGAGAAATGCTACACAGTTAATGATAACTTTCTGCAGAATATTATTTTATTCTCAGCGGAGAGACCCAACACAGGGACTCGCAGAGCTCTCTGATCAATTTGCTTCTCCCTTTTGCGTTACTCTTTCCTGTGTGAAAGAGTCTTTTCAACATCTCCCCTATGAGGAAATCCAGACTTAAGGGCTTGCGTGCAGCTTCGCTTCACTGGGGTTGTTTCACCTCACAGGGCTACAAGACCTGTTTTGTAGCAGATGACCCAGGTACCCCCTCTTTGCAAAATATGGCCTAGCCAACAATTGCCTTAATTTGCAGGATATTGGTTCTTAGGTGGAAGCAGTGAAAGCATCTATTGAAGAGATAAAACATAACAGTTTTGTTATCCAATTATTTATTTTGCCTAATTAATCTATTTATTAATCTTTTATTAATTGTTTTATTTTGCCCTATTAGTTTTGCTGCCTTATTAATTACCTGAGAAGAAAGGCACATCAGACAGAATGATCTACACATGGCTGTCAGCTGAACAGGGCACACTGCACACATGAATGCATGAGTGTCAGGGGGCTGTCACAGCATCCCTAAAAAACAGGATGAGAATTAGCCAACTTAAACCTATTAGCACTCCAGATTGATTGTTACTGTCACGTCTGGTCTCAAGCAAGAATGGGGAATGTGTGGTGTACATTAATCTCAAGACTACACAGATCTAAGCAGGCTGTCAGTTGGATACCGCGGGACAAATAAAACCTTTAGGTCTTATCTACATGCTAGCTAGATACATGCTTTGTTTTCATTTCACCTTACATTTCCTGTAACCTTTGTGGCTTAGTCACCTTTTATAAAAAAATACTTTTGTTTTTACCTTTTTGTGGCTTATCTAACGATTCTTTCAAGGCAACCAGCAAACATTGAGACACTGCATTACTTAAAGCAACTGCCTCTGCAGCCAGGACATTGAAACACAGCCAAGGGATCCAGCATCCCAGTAAGTGACCCCAAGGCTGTAGGAAGGCTGTAAGATGCTTCTCCACTTACTGCACAGACTGATTAGCAGCTGTGGATGCAGGGCTCAGACAGGAGTGTCTTCCAGTAACAGTAAAGAGGAAAGGTATCTGAACTCCTGCAAATCAAGAAAACTCTCTGTGACCTTTCCAGAAGAACATCTTGCTCCCTGTGATTTACAGGGAGCTCACTGGGAAGGACTCCAGATATCCAAACGGCCACTTCAGGGAGCTCAAGGACAGTTGTGTTCATTGATTTCCACAGAGCCGGGATTTCACTTCCAGACGAGTCTGTTGTGATCATCTTTTTCTGACTTTTGGCCTAGCTGTCTGTGGGCTGAGCTAGAGCAAAGCTTCAAGAATGAAATTCAGTTTTGATGTAATGATAGAAAATCCATCATATTCTTTGGAAATCTAACAACTTATCACCCTCACTGTGAGAAATATACACCTTCCTTTCCATTTGATCTTTTTACTCCTTTCAGTTTTCATCCACTGCATCATCTCTGCTGAATGGAGAGACCCTTTAACATTTAAGCCTGTCTTTGTGCAACTGCTTTTTAAACAGGAGAGCAAAACTAGACTGTGCATATCAGAGAACAGAGTGCAGAAGTGTATGTGTCATTCAGAGGCATGATATGTAGCATAATCTTAACAGGCTATATAAATGCAGTTTTTACTTTCCTACCCTAAGATGAGATTTGTTTTGAAAAGATGAGACGAAAGGATGCAACATACATGGAACTCATCCCAAAACTACCAGATCCCGTCTCAGCTGTCATGCTGTCATATTCCCAATTTCATTGTGCTGTATCTATCTCTCAGGCGTGCTGTCACTTTTAATGTGCGCATCTGCCGTTTCGTTATAAGCCTGATACTCTCTTTCAGATTTCGGATGCTTTAATCAAGCGTGTTCAGGTATCTCAGGAACAGTGGGTCAAAGGAGCCTTGGAGCCAAAAGTGTCTGCTGAGTTTGACTTGACTCTGGATAGCGAACCTTTACTGCAGTCGATCCACCAGCTGGATTTTATTCAGATGAAATGTAGGGGTGAGCTTTTATGATTTTATTTTTTCAGTTTTCATGCATGTGTTAAAATGGTGCTGGGAAGAAGGGGGACATTGAGGGAGGAAAGAGGAATGAGTTGCAATTGCTGGAGGGTTTTAAAAGGTTTTCAAGCAAAATCAGATTACTACTTGTCTCCTAGAAAGGTGTGCTCACCTCACATACAGTGACCTGAACAAGCTAAGACAGAGATACCAGGTTCAGTTAAACATTCGAAAAGATAAATTATTCACAGTAGGGCTGTCTATCAGCTCTGAAGATTAAAAGGACATTGGCTGCATGAAACTTTATGCCATTTTACGGAATTCCTAGATTTCACATAGTTAATTCAAAATACCAGTTACCTCTATCTTGTCAGGAGCAGCTGAAGTAGTAAATAAATGTTCTCTCTCCCCTTATGCTTGAATGTGGAAAAAAACCTGCTTTGACATATCTGGACTGTGCTGTGAACAGTGCACAGCTTAAAAAAAATTGTGAGGCAGAGATTCACCAGGGAAAAGTAGCTCTGTATCCTTCCTTGGTTCCAGGTATCTGAATGAGAAGGGAAAGGAGGTTAAAAAAGGTATTTGAAAGCAGAAGTTGATGAATAGTAGATGCCATTGGCAAAAAAAAAGAAACCATCATGCGTTTTTAGTGAGCTTGGTTTGTATGGAGCAGGATGAGAACTGCATCAGAATTAGACAGATCCATAGACCAGCTAGATTTGAAGGCTGTTGTGGTCCCTGGGAACGATGCCATTAGCTTCCCTCAGTGGTGATTCAAGCCTTAATTATACACGTGGGTGACAGAGTAGAGGCTGCCAGAAGTCGATGAATGAGTTAAGGATAATCGTGTTGTGATGCCGGATGTGCTTTTTTTTTTACTCCAAGCAACCATAAAGATTTTTGTTCAGTTTATCTGTCCTCTCTGGGCCTAATTCTGAACCTGAGAGACCCAAGGTGAAGTTATTAGAGTGGATAATTTGGCAGATAATTATGTGGAGAAACAAGGAGAGACAGGGAAAGGCCAAAGCGTGCTCACCAAGAAGGGTTTGCATCTTGGCATAAATGGGCTGAATTAGAATTACTCAAAAACACCTGTGAACTGCTCCTTTGAAAAGTTAACAGCCAGGAAGGTGGGAGTTGAGAAAGAAAGAGTATCACTGATAAAACTTCTCTGAATATTGCCTGCACTTGTCTGTTTAAATCGGTTATATTTAATGCTCGCCATACTTATTGTTAAATATATTTCATACTAATCTTCCGCCACTCTCCTTCCCGAACATACAAAGAATTTAGTTAAACTATCCACTTAGATTGCTAATTAACCACAGGTCACTTGAGGTGAGAGAGGCTTAGGTATTTGGCTTTTGGAGATTCATCTGGCTTTAAGCTTGAAGACTTAGAGATTTTAACTGAGCCAGATTCGCTGAAGCTTTATGAAAGATAGTGCTGTCTGCTGATGCTCTCATTTATCATACAATTGCAGTGCAGCTCTGGTACTGAGCTAGACATGGTCTGAGGAGCAGAGGACAGGACTGCTTCTGCCCAAGTCTGTGGAGAGCTTACAAACACCCTTGGGCTTTGCTCCCCAGGTGCATCTTAACAGTTAGACCTCAGGAAGGGCTTTTCCTTGAGCTACCTTGACCTTGACCATGGAGTACCTGCTGTATGTCCCATCAGGTTGGTCAGCGCAGATGGTATGACCATTTACACGCCATGCAAAGAATGGTGGAAATGCCATTTGTCCTGGCCACTGTTCCTTCATAAGGGACTGCATTATTCCTCCTCACACCACTGTGTGCTCAAGCACTACAAGCCACCAACTGGTCCCAGGCACTGAGGATTGTTTAGTATATAGAGGTGTATTTATATTTTTCAGTTTCTGACTGCAAATCTGTTTGCATCTTAACTGCTCAGTCTGACACTTTGGCATTTTTTTTGAACTTTGCTTCCATGACTTCAACCAGCTTTGCATTATCTTCTCACGCACAGTGGTCTTGCATCTAGAAATGCAGGTACCCCAAAGTAAACAACTCAGCATTTCAGCAGTGAGCACCCAGGCTGACTGGGAACATCGCATTGCTGACTGTGAGGAGAAGCTGGTGTTGCAGGGCGATGTTTTGCTATTTATCACCATCAGGACTTGTACATTTCTGAGCCTCCAATTTCACAAAGAAAAATCTATGTGTCTCTTCACATCTGCTCCTCTTTCTCCAATCCTACCTACGCCAGTACACCAACAAGTCATCAGTCTTTGCCAAATGTTGGTCTTGAGGGGAGTGTTATTAAGTTACTGTACTGGTCGATCTGACAAGACTAGATGCATTAAAGACATCAGAGATGACCTGTAAAGGGAGTTTTGGGGAAACCCTGGAGAATAGGGCCAGCATGGCTTTTCCAACTGCAAGTTGTTTTGTTCCAAAAGCTTTGCAATGTAAGGTCTGTACTATTGTTATCGATGCTTAGTGCATGACTGAATTTCTGTATTTTTTTTCAAACTCTGGCCTCATTCAACCTCAGTGAGCTTGCATGGGTCATTTAGAGTGAAAGCATGCTTGTAAGTAAACATTGATTCACTGTGTTAGACAAAGAAGAATGAAAATGAGAACAAATCACATTACATTTGCTTTGATGACTTGTTCATGTACCTTACTGGTGGATGCTGTATAAACCCATGTCTAAAGCTAATCTCAATAAATAAAGATATGGGGTTTTTTTTACAGAAAGAAAAAACAATTTGGTAACAAATTAAATGTGCAGAAATGTGACAGGTGCAGAAGTCATGCAGACATGTTGACCAAAGGGTCTCACTGATAGCCCTTGGGCAAGAGTCCCACACTCCCCGGGCTAGCTGACCTGCTGAGACACACACACAGTTCTAGTAATTGCTGGCATTTTGAGCTTTCCCAGATCCCTTTTCTCTGTGTGTTTTCTTCTCTCTGTTGCTTTTTCTGAGTGTCTTGGCACAAAATTCCTGTCTTCTTTGATGACTGACTCAATGTGTACCTCACATTTCCTCAGTTCAAGCTATGGGTACAGGAAAATACGTGTTCCAGGTTGGTTTTGTTCAAGCAGCTGGAACTGTCCTACAATCTTGGTTTGTTGCAAAAGAGAGACTAAGTACAAAATAGGAAAAAATATAGCTGCTCTCTAGTTTTCTGTACCACCTCTGAATGTTTACTCATATGCCCCTTCTCCTTGTCAGGAGTGAATCCTTCCCTCTTCTGCAAACCAGTTCACGAAGATTCTCCAGACACATCTCCTGCTGCAAATCTCTGCTTTTCCAGACATGAGCTGCACATGATGAAAGAGTAACTGTTTCATTGTAGGCTTTGTCCCTGGTTCTCTCTGCCCTGCATCACAGACCCAGGTCTTTGCCTGTGGTCTCTCCTTCTCTCTCAATGATGCTGTTTGTAGGGCACTTGCTACAGGAGTGACTCAGGCTATTTCAGTGCCATACTGCAGTTTTGGAGGAGGTCAAAGTCTTCATATTTCTGAGGATCCCATTCTTTCACTGCATTTAGTCCTTTAAAAATTAATCTGGGAGGGTGGAGGGCATTGTTGCACAACTTGCTTGTAAAGAGGACAAATACCAGACAACATCTTCGAGCAGCCCTGCTCTACCCTGCAAGGAGACCAGCTGTGAGATGCATTGAGCAATGTGTTTTTGAAACTGCTGAGTTGACTTGAGATATCAGTATCACATTTTTCAGCTGTGACCCACATGAAACACTTTTAAAATATCAGGACATCATTCAGACTCATTTAAGGTCTTGCTGTGCCAATGCAGTATCATTTCTCCCTTTGTATTTTTAATTTTTTCCTTCAAAAAATCTCTAGAGGACTTTAAGTTGAATAAGAAGTGGGACAGCACTGTAAATTAACATCTGAGTCTTCTTTTTTTTTGGACAGTTAGCCTATTTTTTTCTTTTCTTAGTCCTGTGCCTTTGCTCTTCACTATGAAGTATATCCCAGTGTCCTGATTATTCAACTTGCTTTGCACTTTCCTATGACTTTTACAACAAGTGTTCACCTTTTCATCTCCCAGAGGGAATCTGAGATCAAGGCAAATCTATGCCCATCCACATCCATGGGAGGAGGCAGGAGGGCAGGCACATCCAGCAAAGCTCCACAGCTGCTTGGTGGGAGCATCTTACCTCTCCTTCAGCTGCTGTAGTTGTGCAGTTCAGGCCACAGGCTGGCCCAAAGGGAGTAGGAGGCTGATAAAGATTACTCACAAAAACTTAAATGTCCAGTGACACAGTAAAGAAGCCCAGGCACTTCCCCAGACTATGTGTGACTCTCACGCGTACAGCCAAAATTCACACTGCACCTGGGAAGTGGGAACAGCACTTTACTGAATGAAAATGTATTCTAATCATTCCTGTTTCCATAATTACAAGGGACTCCTAAAACACTTACCCTCCCCCCAAAATTCTGCTCTTTTTTTTCAGTGTTGTGCATTATGTGAACAGTCCCTGAAATCCTCCCATCAGTGTTCCTAGGAAATTTTTGCAGGGGGTTGGAGAGTTTGGTGATCTCTTCAGAGATGAGGTGGTGTGGTCTATTTTGCACTTTATAAACTTCAGGAATTAGGTTTTCACCCAGTTTTGCCAGAGGGAGTCTCAGAAGTGGGGAGGACCCAGCGAATGCCTCCTGAGAGGGTTAAGCAGTTAGCTAAAGTGGCAGGAGTGTGGATGACTGATACAGCCCTATCTTCTCCCCAGCTCATCAGTCACTGGAAGTACACAGACTAAGAAACACAACCAAACCCCCAAACTTAAAATGGTTCACTTAAAACATCCCATTACCTCTGAATTCCTTGTTTTCAGGATTTTGACTCTTGTAATGTCACATTTCTGTTACTTCTTCAGACACGGTGTCCCCTAGAGAAATGTCTACTTTCCATGTGAAAAAACAAGCAGGTGTTTATTTATTACACCCTCTGAATCATCCTTAAATATCAAGGAATAGGAACAAGGCTTTTTTTTCTCTTTTCACGGAAAAACCTTCAAGAGCTAATTTATGAAGCTCTTTTGTTTCAGACCACAGTCATTCTTCTGGGCTAACAAGCATCTGCGTTTGCTGGGTGATGGATAATGCCAGTGGAAAGCCACAGTACCTTCTGCACTGTTTATCACAAGTGTGATGTTGACTTTCGTGTCACTTCCAAAGTGGGGGTGAAGCTTCAGCCCTGTCACATGGTAGCGTCCACTTTTCCACAGGATGCTTGGTACACAAAACGCAAACAGTCCTCTTTTATCTGGTGAGGTAAAATAGAGCGAAAGGAACAGCTCAAGGGCTTAGCTCTCATGCAGACGGAGGCAGGAAAATAAACACGAGAGGCTCAAAGCAGAGTAGATGAAAGAAGAGCAAACTGACATTGTTAAGAGCTAAGTCAATGAATGCTCAGAGCACTCAGCTCCTTGTACAACACGATTGAGCTCTGAGAAATGTCCTGAATGGTGAAATTCAGCCTTGGGCAGAAGACCAGGCAGGCTTGATGCATCACTTACATCCCTCTTAACCTGTGTGATTTCAACAGGGTGTAAGATACATGCCAGATCTCTCCAAAAGACTGGATTTTCACTTTATAATTTCCAGCAAAGAGTGAACAGTGAGACTTTAGCTGTGTTTAGCAGAGAAGGTGTGGTGGAGGCCTCTTTCCCATAGAGGTGTGGCTGAATGTTTTACTATTTAATTTTATTTTTAAGATGCTGGTCTGGTCAAGAGTCTCTTGGTGTTTCTCCTGAGTGAGTCACTAAAAAGACACGTTGGTAGATAACTGCCACCAGCAGTCTCCTGTGGTGCAGAAGTTCCTTTTGCTACCTGAACCAAAAGATTTAGACAAAATCTACAAATGGAATCATTTTATTCAACAGTTTCTTTTAAGTATGGCTGCCATAAGCTTAACATATCCAAGGTGTTTTTGATGAAAAACTGAGCGGGAAGAGGGGTGATATGTTAGATTAAATGTAAAAAAACCCAACCCTCTTGTGAAGAACTGTTTTCCTGCTGTAGGTAGAGTTCAGGCTCTATCTCACTGCTGTGCTGGAGGAGTGGCTGCTCTGCTGGTTAATAACCCAATTCTTCATTAATGTGTGGGCTTACTGGCAGCACTGTGTCTCCCATTCTGCCCCGTGGCCCAAGACACCCCCTGCCACCGCTGTTTCCTCTACTTTTGGGTACAGTGGGGACCAAGTGCTCTAGAGTGAGAAAAAACTCTTCCAGCCAGTGACCCCGGGAAGGAAACCAGGCACAAGGTCCCCAGATTGTAGTTCTTAGGAGGCACCAGAAGCACCAGAATCCAGATATATTTCTGTTTACGTATATCAGTGAAATGATTTGTCTAACCAAGGAATGACATTTTGTTATATCATTTTTACTGCCTTTTGTTTCAATGAAGGGATCGGACCCTCTTCCTAACAAATATTAACTCGCCTGCAAGGGGAGGGAGGTGAGCGGTCGCCATACCGCCCGCGGCCCAGACTAATGGGGTAGGGCAGACCTACACTAATCTGTACCCAGTTCCCGTTACAGTGCCACCCGTCCCGTTACTGCAGCTGGAGAAGTGTTGCACCAGAAACAACAGTGTGACATTGGCCTGGAGGATGCCACCTTTGAGCCACAACCCAGTGGAGGGTTATATCTTGGAACTTGATGATGGAGATGGTGGCCAATTCCGAGTGAGAATTTCATTCAGCATGTATTTGTGTTTCTTTGTATGTGAGTTTCCTCAGGATATGGATTTGTGTCTGTCTGAGGGTGGGGAGAGGGGCTAGGGAAGACATGGATTGTCAGAACATCCCTGCTTCCATCACAGGGATGTAGAAAGAAATGCAGAGGCTAATTATTAGAAGGATCCCCAACCTGGGTAGGAATTTTGGTTGAAGTTATTCTTGGGGCTCTGGCAAAGAGGGCCTTGAGGTCCCCCTGGAGCATATCAGAGCAGAAAATCCCTTACTAGCTGACAGGAGCTGAAGGTGGTTCATTCCATAAACCAGAGATTTATTTGAAGGCCCTACTCTTGTCTGTTCATAGCACCCTGTTTCAACAGCTGAGATTATTGGTTCAGAAATACAACTCAATTTTTCATGGTTTTATGAGTAAAAAAATTAGATCCTGCATAAAAATATGGGATTTCTAAATCTTTTCTCTGGGATTGGATGAGATCAGGCTGGTGGAAGCTTTCTGCAGACATGCTGCGATGGGGTTGGTGAGTATGGGAAGGCATCCTGAGTGCTGTCCTTACAGACCCTCAGGGGGATGCCACAACCCCTTGCTCCTGCCTGCAGGTGCAGGGTATTTAGAGACTCCCGACCCTTCTTGACATATCCCGATAAACAAACTACAGAAATAACTAAATCAACTTTCTGCCAGCCACGTCCTGCTGGAAGCCTGCAGGCCTTCCTCCTCAGGCAGGCTTCATGCTCCTGTTGCTCAACGACCAGGCTGGCCCAGGGCATTCCCTAAGGGCTGGTGCCTTGAAAGCATCTGGAGATCACGGTGGAGTACAGCTGCTCTCTTCACAAATGGAAAATTTTGCCAAAAACATGTGATGGCATTTGTTTGGGAGCTGCAAGCTGGCTTCCCAATGGAAACTTAAATCTTTCTCAAGCAGAAAATGGCCTGGCATGGGTCCACCTAAGGAACTGCCTCCCTGTGCCAAACTGCTGCACCCATGGCAAGCAAAGGCACCTGGTTTGGACGCCCCTCCTTAGAAGAGACAGCAGTCTTGGAAGGGCATTTTGAAGAGGGCACAGTTTTTCTGTAAGGTCTCCTCAGTTCCCTAGTCCAAGTATCATTTCACATGGGTTTGAAGAGGCTGGTCTCCACTGCTGGAAGTGTGTAAGGGTACCGTTGTGAACGGCTGCTGGGAGTGGCCGATATAGTTAATATTAGTAGGTAAGAGTGTTATCAGTGCATGATAAAGGAAGAGTTAGGAACAAGGCGTTTTGAATTCCAGTGTCTTGGGTAAGCTTTTTCAAGTGCTATTCACATCTAAATTAATAGTTGTGAATAAACAAGATTTCCGGCTGGTGTATATCCATGCTCATTTGTGGAGGGAGTTTTGTAACTGTCAAAAGTTTCAGGACTGCCAGCACTGCCATGTCAAGATTTTGGATTGGAAAAGATACAAACCCATCTCAATCCTTAAAAATATAGCATGACAACTTCTCAGGGAATGCTTTGCTTGCTCTAGAGAAACACCCTCAGTTTTACCCACTGAAAGATAAACTGCAGGCTTCTCAGCAATGCCATTTCAGTAAGAGTTTGCTGACCCTTTTCATGAAGGATTATATATCTGAAAGCAATGACACTGGCTGCACTTCATTCGTATTTGATGGGTGGATTTAAAGAACAGCTTTTGTCTCCCATCGTAGCAGAGAGCATCAATCTGAATAAACGCAAGCAACGAACAGTGGTAAAAATATGAAATGGATTAGAAAATGTTAGTTATCCTGCAAACACAACTTTTTGCACAGACAGCGTGTGTTATAACATGGAGATAAATTTATCTATTCTATTAAAACTCTTCTTTCTCTCCATGAGAGATCATCAGCTAACTCAGGACCAAAGAGATTTTGTTATTTGTAGCAGCTGCCATAGTAGCAAAGTGGACAAACACATGGCCCGCTGTAAAGTTAAGCAATCCCTTTCTTATTCATCACGTCCTTAATTCACTTTAGGTTTGTATCAGAGAGCCTTAATCAACGGCACTACTCTTGGGCATATACTTAAGTGTCTTAACTGAACAAGGGCCTGAGGGGTCTGCTTTGTCACAGCCTTAAGCTCTTTAGGGCCTTTGCTACCATAAATCTATGGATTTCACAGAATCGGAGAAATTGGAGGTGGAAAGGAATTGTGGCTTTCAACCTGTTGCTGAGACAGGATTTTTTCCTTTTCTGTCATTTTCTGTTGCTTTGTTCAGTTTTCCAATAAAACATGAGGTTTCTAGGCTTCTTTCAGTTAATCATAGACTGCATAATCATCATAGAATCGTAGAACAGTTTGGGTTGGAAGGGACCTTAAAGAACATTGAGTTCCAACCCCCCTGCCATGGGCAGGGACACCTCCCACTAGACCAGGTTGCTCAAAGACTCATCCAGCCTGACTGATCCTCTTCATTAGTCTGCCTAGATGTTCCTCCTCCTGAAATATTTCGCATTACACAAGTGCTTGCTGTTTAATAAATCTTTGCAGACTTCTGTGATGTCTCTGTTGTTTAGTTGCTGTTTCATCATGTGATGCATGCAATCCTAATCTTTAGGAGACCAGTTTCTTCTGGCTCTGTGTTTGTGGGTTTCAAAATTATATTGTAGCACAGGCATGAGACAACCTTTCCAACATAATAAAACTGTGCCTACTTGGTGTTTTTTATTCTTCCACACCCTCCTTTTTTGGTCCTACATAAATATAAGAATGGTCACAGTGGGTCAGACACTGGGACTACAATCCAAAATAGTGTTTTGGCGTAGATGTTTAGGAAAAGAGGAAAAAAAATTAAGATCTATTTGTGTTGTCCTTTACTGCTGTACCCCTCCAGCTTCATCTTCACTTTAATGTCTCTACTGCTAACCATACTTGATGTCTCCACTCCTGTGGCTGTCTGTGTTATAACAGCATAACTTCTACATCCTGGGAAGCAATGAGAAGCTCTTCACTTGTGGTTTATATTTAGGAGTCTTAACATGTGATCACAAGGCACAGAGAAACAGTGAAACTATGGCCCTCTTTCTCTCTCTCCTTTTTTTTGGGGGAATGTTTAGGAAGTATATGTTGGCAAGGAGACTCTCTGCACCATCGATGGCCTTCATTTCAACAGCACCTATAATGCAAGAGTCAAAGCTTTCAACTCATCGGGAGTTGGTCCTTACAGCAAGACAGTTATTTTACAGACGTCAGATGGTGAGTTGGGTTTTTGCCAGTTTCTAAGTGAAAAGCTGCAGGTCTCAGTGTCAGGACACATGCATCCTTTTATACCCACTAATATCTTTGGCAGTTGCTGGAATGGAGATTTTGGATCATCTGAATGGAGAGGCCAGGAACTGAGCATGCACAGAGACTGAGCACTACTCCTAGCACTTTTGGAGATTTTCCATTATCAGTAACACTTCAGGTTTCAAATAGTGCAATTTTATTTGGCTGTAGAAGTCTGGGGTCTAAGATTCTTATTTCCTTTAGTATGCAGAAGCCATTATGCAACACATGGGACATTTGTGTACCACTCTGTATCCACTTCCCTATATATCTTTGGAATTTGCCTTTTTTCTTCACTACTGCTTCAATTTCACACCAAGGTTTGACAATACAGAAGTGGGAATTCATGCTTGTTCCTCTGTAATTATACTTGACATCCATATGGGCATCACTAATGATGTTGTAATGAATAAAAAAATGTATTCAATTACCACTTCCACTTTTATGCTGTGTTGCCAAAATAGGCCAGTTTAAAATATTTATACTTTAAGAGCTTTTTCTGTTTTTTGGTTTGTTTTTTATTTCTTTTCCTTTTTTTCCCCTTTGATAAACTAGCAAAGTCAGTGCTAACCAGCACGGACACGGTAGAACTCCATTTCCATTAAAGGCAATCCTGAACCAATTCACCTGTGTGTGCAGTTGCCATATCCTGGAGAAGCCTTTGTCTCCTCAATGACTTTCTTGTTAGTCTGTGAGAACAGAAAGTCACTGCCCTTAGCAGCTTACATTCAGAGGAACAAGCACAGATAATATAAAGCACTTCTGAGCTGAAAAACAGCAGAGTACCGGCACAGAGCAATCTTGTGTAGCTGCTTACAGTAACACAGAAAGATTGTCTTTATTACCTGAGAGTGCAGTGGGGTCTTTAGGAAGGCAGAATCTCATTCTCCTAATAGAAGAAAAGCAGACAACACTTGAACTCAGCCCATTCTTGCTGTAATGCTGCCTTTCCTTTTCCCCTTCCACAGTGGCGTGGTTCACCTTCGACCCCTCCTCAGCTCACAGAGACATAGTGCTGTCGAATGACAACCAGACTGCCACCTGCAACAGCTATGATGATCGGGTTGTTCTAGGCACAGCAGCCTTCTCCAAGGGCGTGCATTACTGGGAACTGCATGTGGACCGGTATGACAACCATCCGGATCCAGCCTTTGGCATTGCCAGGATTAACGTCGTCAAGGACATGATGCTAGGCAAGGATGACAAGGCATGGGCCATGTACGTTGACAACAACCGCAGCTGGTTCATGCATTGCAATTCTCACACCAATCGGTAAGCATCTCCTGCATGCTTTTCTCATTACTGACCGTTTTTTCTGCTTTGCATCAGAGGAAGGGGTCTCAGCAAGCCATCTAGTCCATATCCCTGCTAAATGTAGCTATTTTACTCCTTTTTAAAAGTCACTAGTGACAGCAATTGCACCTTCTCAATCTGTGTTGGTGTCTGTTGTTCTCACTGTTAGCATTTTTTTCCTGAGATCTAGCCTAAATCCCCCCTGCTGTGATTTAAGCCTGTTATTGCAAGTCCCACCCAGGGTGTCAGCAGACAGGAGTGCAGCACACTGGGATGCAGGATTTCTCTCTCATTGCTGAAGGAGTGCAGGGAGAAAGGTGGTTGATTCTCTTCCTTAGGAGGAATCTTGGCTGCAGGGTACCACAATAATTAGGCAAAGCACTGGTGATAGCCTGTTCGCAATACAGGTCTTTGTTGCCAGTCCTAATCAAAGGTAATGCTGTAGGTCACCCCTGTGGTGGTCCAGACACAAGGGACTGTTTGGCAGTGAGGGCTGAGTGACAGCTTCCATCCAACAGAACCATTGGGCTGAAGGGCTTTGAACAGTGTTTCAACCAGTACAACCAATTTACACAAAGGAGGATTTCAGAATGCCCCTGAGCCGTCATTACCAAACCCCTCTTTCTCCCACCACCACAGCGGCAGGGAGACATCTTCTAGCTGAAGCTCCCCCAAGGGCCAGATCACTCAGAGATGTGTATTGGCAGAGATCCAGCGTTGTGCTGACACGGCTGCTTGGCTTTCAGCCCACATGAGAGTTACCTCTGCCTAATCATAGAATAATGCTGGCTGCGTTTTCCTTGACGTGATTCTAGACTGTGCAGGGGAGCTACACAGGGTCAGCTTCGCTTGAAGCTTCCTGGGGTATCACCAGGGTAGAACGTGCTGCTCTCTCCCTGTGTCCCATGAGAGGGAGGGTCAAGCCTTAGCTGAAGGCCAGCTGAGCATGACGGGAGCTGAAACCCTTGAGAAGATCTCAGCTGAAGAGTGTGATTCAGGGTCTTAAGTCCCCTGCTTATTTTGGAAAACGGTGTATTTATATACCTACTCTATCATGACGGGAGATTGATGTACAAATACAGTGACTGGCCAAGGATACCTAGCAGGTCTGTGGCAGGGCAGCGATCAATTTCCATTTAGTTTTCTGCTGACTGTCCCAGCAGGTCTTCCATGCTCACTAATCTGTTAAACGAAATTATTAAAAGAAAGGCTTGCTGTGATTTTTAAAATGCTCAAATGCTGATATTGTCTCCGCAGAGATAAGAGATAAGTTCGTGCCAACATTCACTGTATTCTAAAGCTGTCTCCTGTTTGAATAGTCGTTTATACTCTAAAGCACACTTGTATTTTAAGTAAGTATACTGCAATTGCTGAGATCTTTTGTTTGAAGCAAAGTTTTAGTTTGCAGTTCATTACAGAAGGGTATAAGAACCTTGTAACTGGATCCAAAGCTATTTGAAGTCAATTGGAGAATTTTCATTGCCTCCAAAGGCTTTAAATGATGTCCTAAGTCAATACAGAGTAACATAGCATCAGTATAATAAATATATAGAATCATAGAATCGTAGAATG